TCAGTGATCAATGCAAAGAAATAGAGGAAAACAATAGAATGGGAAAGACTAGAGATCTCTTCAAGAAAATTAGAGATACCAAGGGAACATTTCATGCAAAGATGGGCACAATAAAGGACAGAAATGGTATGGATCTAACAGAAGCAGAAGATATTATAAGAGGTGGCAAGAATACATAGAAGAACTGTACAAAAAACGAGCTTCATGACCCAGTTAATCACAATGGTGTGATCACCAACCTAGAGCCAGACATCCTGGAATGTGAAGTCAAGTGGGCCTTAGGAAGCATCACTACAAACAAAGCTAGTGGAGGTGATGGAATTCCAGTTGAGCCATTTCAAATCCTAAAAGATGATGCTGTGAAAGTGCTGCACTCAAGATGTGAGCAAATTTTGAAAACTCAGCAGTGGCCACAGGACTGGAAAAGGTCCGTTTTCATTCCAATCCCAAAGAAAGGCAATGCCAAAGAATGTTCACACTACCGCACAATTGCACTCATTTAGCCTACCAACAACATAGTGCTCAAAATCCTTCAAGCTAGGTTTCAACAGTATGTGAATAGAGGGAAAGACAATGAGTAAGCGAAGTAAAAAAAAAAAAAAGCCACCAGTCTTACAGAACATCTCTGAGAATGGCAAGCATCAGGGAAAGAAAGTGAAATTGTTAGTCAGTCAGTTGTGTCTGACTCTCTGTGACCCTGTGGGCTATAGCCCACCAGGCTAATCTGTCCATAGAATTTTCCAGGCTAAAATCCTGGAGTGGGTTGCCGTTTCCTTCTCCAGGGAATCAGGGAAGGGATATGTTAATCTCGTCTTTTCACAGGCGGACAGGGTCCCATCCTCTGTGAGCTGAACAAAGCACTTTAGTTTAACAGTCAGGCATGGGCGGAACCTCCTTAGATAGGCCATTATTATATGGTTATGATAACAGCAAGGTAAAGCAAGTCAAGGAAATAGTTCCAACATGGAGTCAGAATTGGTTCTTCTCTGCAACTACCACTCCCAATCAAAATCTTGGTCTTCATTATGTAAATAGCATCTACCAAATTTCCAAGCCAGAAATCTAATCATTCATGACCCCTCTCTCTCCTTCATCTCTGAAGCCAACAAATCACTAAATGGCTTTGTCTTTGTTGTTTCTATGTATGCATCCCCACTGCTATGACAGTACAGCATTATGCCTAAGAACACAGTCTTGGAGCCGATTGGTTTCCCCTCTGTGCTCTATCTATACCTTACTACCTATGTGATCTTGAGAAAGTTACGCAACATGTCTATGCCTCAATTCCCTACAATGGGGATTATAATTGTACTTTCCACGGTTGTTGTGAGGATTAAATGAGTCATTATATAAATGTTCTTAGAATTTGGTGTTTACTTTTATTATATGACCATCTCTTTCCTGGAATACTGAACAGTCTACTAATTGGTCTTCTAATTGAAAGTTCTAATCCATCTTAAGTCCCTTTTCCAAAATGAAGCCAACGGAATCTTTCTAAAATGGGTATGTGAATAGTTTTTTTGCAGTTCCGTAAAAGGACATTTGATTGCCTTCATTATAAGGTTCAAATTTCTTAGAATAAGACCTTTAACTGAGCCCTGAGAACCCTTCAGCGTGTCTCCCGCTTCTGCGCTCCCTGGGCATTTAAGTCATACCAAACTTCTGATTCTCTAATACACTTAATGGCTCTGACCTTTGGGGCTCAAACACACTCTTCCCTCTGACTAGACCACTCTTTACCTCCTTTTTGCTTGCCGAAGTCTTTTTCCATAATGTTTTTGCCACACCTGGAGAATGTGTGTGTGGGCAGAAGAGAGAGTCAGAAAGAGCTACCAATGTGATGTTGTTCAGTCGCTCAGTCATGTCTGACTCTTTGTGACCCCATGGAATGCAGCATGCCAGGCTTCCCTGTCCTTCACTATCTCCTGGAGTTTGCTCAAGTTCATGTGCATTGAGTCGGTGATGCTATCTAACCATCTCATCCTGTGTCGCCCCCTTCTCCTCCTGCCTTCAGTGGTTCCTAGCATCAGGGTCTTTTCCAATGAGTTGGGTCTTTCCATCAGGTGGTCAAAGTATTAGAGCTTCAGCTTCAGTATACTAGTGTGATAGGAAGCAAGTAAATGAAATTTGTCAGGAAGAGGGAAGGACCTGTGTCAGAAACTGCTGTCAGCTGAAGACAGGAACTGAGACGTGGCCACTGGCTTTGGCAACATTATTTCTCTAATCGCTCACTAAAGAAATAATCAGTATTTTTAAAGTTGGAATTTCTATATACTATAGTATAATTTTCAAAGCAGAATATATACTCTTTATGTATATGTAATGTAGGAATCTTACAATAAAACTGTATATAAAAATAAACTCAAAAATTCTATTCTACCATTCAGTTGAGAATAGCTTCTGCACTGAGAAACCCAGTATAGATAACATGCAAGAAAGGTAAGTTCAAATTAATTCAAATCTCATAGGATAGCAAAAGGTAAGCATTAGTCCATTATGATGTTTCTGCTTAAATATTAGTGTTTCTCCAGGTATGACAAGTACATGCCAGCCATTGTTGTAAGCAACGTTTTATTTTATTTCTTTATTGTTAATATACTTTGAGTACATATTCTCTTTGTACCTGAAAATCTTCTCTTCTTTGTCTTCTTCATCAAATCCAAGGACTTTCTCTGCTTTTAACCAAACAAACAAATCTGTTAGTAGAAATTTTATTTTAAATGTCAGGCAAAATGAAATGACTGTTCAAGTCCAGCCATTTCCATTAATGGAATAACGTCCTTATATTAGTGGATATTTAAAGAGTGAAATATATAAAACGTATATACATGTAATGGATATTAAAAGTATATTAAGAGGTATTTGTAGAGATTGTGGTCAGAGAGACCAAACAACTATGATTTGTGGTGGTGTTTTTGCTTCCTATAATTGCTAATTATAAGAATATTTAATGGAGACAAATATCAACTCTGAGGATACTTTATTATTCCAAATAGAGCAAATATAGGCCTGCTATATAAAATTCATTTCCTCACCAAGAGAAAAATTTTTTTGAATCTGATGTACACATATATATCTGATATATAGGTGTATGTGTTAATACAATTATATAAATGTATTTTTTTAGATTTTCATCTATTCTCATGCTGTTATTTTTGTATCATGGCCTTTTTCATACAGTATTATCCTTGACAAATCAACCTATAATAAAGTTTACTATAGCTGTAATAGAGACCTTTTCAGCTATTATCTAAATTCATTGGTTTTGTTGATAGGAGAACTAATAAAAATCAAACTACATAGAAATAATCATGTAACTTATTGTCAGGAATGCATATATGATAGAACTTAAATATTTAGAAATTGAAATGTGGCTAAAATATAATCTTGACTTGTTCATTTCCTCTACAATGTCAAAATCAAACCATTTAATGAAGATAGTTACTAAATCCTATAATTTTGAAGGAAAATCAGTGTACGTTCTGCTGGTTAAAAGCTATACATTCCATCTTCTCTCTATCCCACTTTTCCTGCTGTGGATTAATTCTTTTTTCTTGACCTTTACTCAGATGAAATAGGAAATAACTCCTTACTGCCACTCATACAATATCCCTGGAATGATTTTGGCTTATGACCTTTAAATGATGGGGATAAAGAAAATGAATCACATCTCCTCGCTTGGACCTGATCTGTGGGTCAACATATGTTTGCTTTTCATCTGTATGAAAATGCTTTAGGCTATGATTGCCATGGAGTAGGTGAAGTCAGGTGAAGAATGGGCAGGTGCCAATTGAGTCAGGCAGGAGATGAAATGATGATAAGAAATGGGAAAGCTGAGAAGTGGGGAATTCTTTGTAAGAGATGCTGATTGCTTGTGATCACTTGCCTTTCCGTGGTTGAAGGGCAGGGTGTAAGGGCAGTGTGCAAATGCCTGGACTGTTCAGGGAAGAACAGCTGAGCAGAATGCTGGAAAGAGCTTACCTGGCAGTGACAACAGCTGTGAGAACAGGGCTTGAAACGGGATGAAAATGCCTCAGGGCTTCCGTAACATTTCATCCCCCATGAAGAAGGGGTTTTCTGGAAGCCCCTTTTTAACATTGAGGATGATTTTGCCAATTAAAAAAAATAGGCACTTTTAGAATTTCCACTGCCGGACTGTTTGATACATTGAGTCCTATGCTTAACGTTTAAAAAAATTAGTGTTTCATAAAGCCTATTGATATTTACACAGATGTAAAAGTTGAAAATCTGGTTATTTGGTTATTTGGTGTTTGAAATCAAGTATGATAATATTTCCCTGTGAAATCCCAAGATCATTAACATTGCTTTACTCAGCTTTAATAGGAAATACATGCCAGTAAGATGAAAATTAATTTAGAGTAGAATGCTTTATGTCAGGAGACAACGTGCCTGATCACAGTTATTTGAAACAGAGCATATTCCAAGCACATTGCCTGCTGCTTTTTCTTGGCTGTAGATATTGACGAGTGTGGGACGGGGAGGCACGGCTGTGCCAATGACACCGTTTGCTTTAACTTGGATGGTGGATATGATTGCCGATGTCCTCACGGAAAGAATTGCACAGGGGATTGCATCCATGATGGAAAAGTTAAGCACAATGGTCAGATCTGGGTGCTGGAAAATGACCGGTGTTCCGTGTGTTCATGTCAGGTTGGTATAAACAAAACATTGTAACCATTTTTATCAAGATGTAATTTGCATGTATTTCAAGTGTACGGCTTGATAAAGAAATCCATACATCTGATTAACCTCTGCACAATGAATATAACATAACATTTTCATCTACCCAAATTGACCAGCCTCTGCCCTTTCTTAATCCCATAGCCCCAGATACAAGTGAACTCTGTTTCCTGTTTTTATAGATTAGATTTGTATTTTCTACAGCCTCATATAAGTGGAATCATATAATACAGTTGGCCTTCATGTATTCAGCCAACTGTGGATCAAAAATACTTGAGAAAAAAAATTCCAGAAAGTTCTGAGGAGCAAAACTTTCATTTTCCTGACCCCAGCAACTTTTTACATAAGTTTTATATTATATTAGATATTATAAGTAATCTAGAAATAATTTAAAGCATATCAGAGATTATGTATAGGTTATATGCAAATACTATGCTGTTTATAAGGGACTTGAGCATCCATGGATTTTGGTATCCACCTGCAACCTGGAAATAATCCCCCAGGTATATGAGATGAAAACTATACATATTCTTTTGTGTTTGACATTTGTCTCAGCATTATGCTTTGACACTCAATCATATTCATTACCTGTATAAGTAACCCATCCCTTTTTATTACTGAATAGTGTTCCCTTGTAGAGAAATACCACAATGTGTTTATCTATTCAATGATAAAATTTTGATTCTAACTAGGCTAATGTTTTTATAGTCACAATATCATATTTGAATGAATGCATAAATGAAGCCAGAACGAACATGCTATGGCCTGTAAGTGAAAAAACACCTATTTGGGTTATATTTCAGTTTTAGAGAAGGTGTTCTGTGTACCCAGTTGATAATAGAAATTTAAATTATAGTTAAATAATAATACCAAGGACTCAACTATTATTAAAGAAATTGATAACAGCTTGTACAAATTTTATAACATTCACATATCTATAAACTTAATAATATATAAAACTTGATGACTACCTACCAAATATAAACATACAATCCCTTACACAGAACAAACTGTAGTTAGTATTCAAATTACAAGTACATAAAAATTTATATATACATACACGAATTTATTTGCACATAAGAGCCATCCAGTGGTTATCATTCTATACTGGTTATTTCTGAAAAAATTTTTTCCAATCAAGTCATTTAAACAGTAATGTGCAGAAAGAAAATTGGAAATTCTCCAGCTTGAGTAATTTTTAGGTGTTAGCTACAAATAGGAATTTTAAAGAAAATCAGTTATATTGAGAAAACAGTGTGAGTTATCTGAAACTTCCAAATCAACATCTGAAATTACAGATATGGTGCTGATGCTCAGTCACTCAGTTGTGTCTGACCCTTTGTGGCCCCATGAACAGTAACCCACCAGGCTCTTCTGTCCATGGGATTTCCCAGGCAAGAATACTGGAGTGGGTCGCCATATCCTCCTCCAGGGGATCTTCCTGGCCCAGCAATGGAACCCATGTCTCTTGCATCTCCTGCATTGACAGGCGGGTTCTTTACCACTAGCGCCACCTGGGAAGCCCAATTTTAGATATATTATGTAATATATATGTATATATATATAGATATAATTATGAATATAGATATAATTATGAATATAGATATATTATTAATATATCTATATATATTCCCCTGGAGGAGGAAATGGTAACACACTGCAGTATTCTTGCCTGGAGAATCCTCATGGACAGAGGAGCCTGGAGGGCTATGGTCCGTAGGCTCACAAAGAGTTGTTTGTGAATGAAGTGACTTAGCACAGCACAGCGCATATATATAATGTATACATGGATGTTTATATACATAGGTACTCACACATGCAGACACACCCACATACATGTGATATCAGTATCCTGAGAAACAGAGGCTTTTGGTAACAACGTTTTCTCCTTGTCATACAGAATGGCTTTGTCATGTGTCGACGGATGGTCTGTGACTGTGAGAATCCCACAGTTGATCTTTTCTGCTGCCCTGAGTGTGACCCAAGGTTGAGCAGTCAGTGCCTCCATCAAAACGGGGACACCTTGTACAACAGTGGCGACACCTGGGTTCAGAATTGCCAGCAGTGCCGCTGCCTGGTGAGTCTGGCTGCCTGAAGTTCAGGAAACGTTCAGCCCAGAGTCAAAGTAGGAAAGCAACCTTCCCTGCCCCTCCACCAGTATTCAGTAGCTGGCCATGGCGTTGGAAGTTACAGAAGGTGAACCTAGTTATGGTGACAAGGTGAGAAGGCATATCCAGGGGTAGATGCAGTATACCATGCCATGTCAGTCTTTCAGGACAATCTCCAGAGCGCCAAGGAAGAAAAGGCTGTCCTCACTTTCCCAATCCACTCAGCCTAGGTTTACTTAAAGACAGTTATGAACAGAACAATGGCATTCAAAAAAATCCTTTTTTCCAAGTAAACCTTTTGTTAATCCATTTCTGTCAATTATGCTCTGACTTAAAAAAAAACAAAAACAAAGCCTTTTTTCTTTCTAAAAATTGTTACTGTCAATACTATTCTTGCAGTAACCCTGTTTTACACATAGTATGAATTTGCAGTAAATATTAGAATGTTAGAGTTGAATGTATATATGTATGAAACTTCTACTAGAAACAATAGGTTAAAAAGAAAATAAAGACTTGATAAGAAGACCCCAGTCATTTTTCATGTGGCCGAATTTTTTGCTTCTTTCTATGGTGTAAATGAAAATTCATCTACATGTCTTTATAGAAGAAAGTTTCATAGATATTAGTCTTAAAGTTAGAACTGGTTTCCTTTCTATTTGTGTGAGGATATTTTTAAGGCAATGCTTTTTTGTTGCTTCCTTTTTATACTTTCAACCCAAAAATCAATTGAAAGAGCAAGGTCAGTTTTGTGCCTGAAGGCTGCTTTCATCTCCCAAGTCCATGAGACTCAGAATTATGAAGAAAATAGGAAACAGGTGGGAACTAAATTTTAAAAAGATCCAATTCACACAATTTTCCCATGTGGAATAAAAATGACTGAAATCAGCTCCTAGTTTTGTTTTTTTTTTCCCAAAGTCCATACACTGAGAAATGTATAAATGAACAAAGAAAAACTGTCAAATTTCCTTCATATTTCAATTTATTTTCTTGTCAGTGGACAAAACTTTCTTTTTGCAGAAGGGAATAAATGAGAAAGTAGGATAAAAGATTGAAAGGAAGAAAAAAGCATCTCATAGGCAAAAAAGCTAAGTAAAAATCTCTTCTGTAGTAAACAGTTCTTTGTCATGGGAAAGAGAGGACATGCCCATTTGCTTGTTTTAAGATAATCGGTTTTTGCTTTCCTGTATTGCTATTCTTATTTAACCCATAAAGACTGTTTCATAATCCATCTACAGTATAGATCTCATGTGTGGATTCCCTACTTTCATGGCTGTGAAGGTCTAAGTATGAATGTCCATCAGAGAAATTGAGTAACTGAATATTCAGTAGACACTACGTTCCCTCCCTCCCTCTCCCACTACCCTTGTGCATCTGCTTTCCTTATAGCAAGGGGAAGTTGACTGTTGGCCCCTGCCTTGCCCAGAGGTGGAGTGTGAATTCAGTGTCCTCCCCGAGAATGAGTGCTGCCCGCGCTGTGTCACCGACCCTTGCCAGGCCGACACCATCCGCAATGACATCACCAAAACTTGCCTGGACGAGATGAATGTGGTCCGCTTCACTGGGTCCTCTTGGATCAAACATGGCACTGAGTGTACTCTCTGCCAATGCAAGGTAAAACCCACTATATTCAAGTAGGGAGCACTTGGCTAGCTGTGCCCAGGAATCATAGCTATTAATGTGGCCAGTGGGAAGCACCTTCCTTCCTAGTTACTGCTCAGAGTTGGGAGGAGGACCACTCAGCTTAATTAGTGCCAAAGCTGACTGTCCTGTGCATCCTCTAAAGCATTTTCAGGGAGAAGAAGGTGCTTGGTCTGAAACCAGAATGATGGTTATTTATATCACTGGATCTAAAGCATCTAACTGTACACATCTTTTAAAAAAAATAATACAACACCAAGCTTCATGCTTCTTTCATGATAGAGGACAATATTATTTTATTGATTTTTATCTAGTCTTTTTATGATATAAGATATATCAACAAGGTAAACATACTGTGTTTTCCAAAGTGAAAATCAATATGGCAAAAATGGGCATATTTCTTGGTTTGTTGTGGTCAGTTACATTGAGCTGAAAAATTTAAGACTTGTTGTTTACCATGTTTTATTCCTACAGCTGGAGAAAAATCATTATAAAGATTTTTCTTTTTATTCTCATAGGAAAATAAAGCATTATGTCTTTTACTACACTGAGAACAAAAATACTGATAATGTAGACAAGGTATATAGAATTCAAAAATGGTGACAAAGTTGAAAGCTTTTTACTTTGATTATTGTTCCTACAAATATTTGATTCAGTGGTCACTGTACTTCAGAGTCAAAGTTTTAGAATCACCATTAAAATTAATAATCTGGAAAGCTTAACAACAACAGGAAAGCAAAGATGTCAGATTTTTCCCAGCATAGCACAGCCAGATATCTCTAACTGCTCTGGTTCTTTAAATGAACATTTGCATTTAAAAATTTTTTTCAGTAGAGCAATTTAATTCTGATTCACATAGTACAAATTTCTTACTAGAGTGACTTGATGTAACAGGACAAAGAAATATGAAATGCTTTAAGTTTGAGATGCTATTATTATCTATTTCACACCGAAATTTCTAGCTCTTTCAATCAATGCAATTTGTCAATCAAGCACAGCTTTTTGGGAGGAACATTTAATGCAGTCTTCTAAAAGTGCATTAGCACATTTGAAAGTTACTTCTACTTCAAAAAGTTACTAGCAATGTATATGCAGTGCCACTTTAATATACATTTAATATGAATACATTTGAATGCATTTAGTGGTGCATTATCTAGAAACTTCAGCATTAATGATTAATAGGGAAATACTTTCTGACATTTAATTGCCAAAGATATTTGAGTCTCTTTACACTCTTAATCTACTATTAGATTATTGTTCTGAGCATTGACAACAAAAATATATACTGAGTGATGCAATGTAAAACACACCAGATATAGCTCAGACAGATACTTCTAACAAGGAAAATGCAATCAGTAATAGGCAGCAAACATTACAGTATTTTCTGGTGGTAAAGAGTGTGAATGAGCTTGTCATTCACTGCCTTACAAACAACTAGGATTTTTTGACTCCTAGTAGAAATGTTTCCAGAAAGTGTATTTTGGCATTAAATTCACTTCTTGTCAGATAACTGCCATTTCTCAGAAGTTACTATTTGATGCCCTTTCCTTTCTCCCTTCTTATTAAGTTGAGTTATAAGAATATGCTCAATGCTACCAAATGTGTCCCTAATAGTCATTTTATTATATTTATTTTTTGCTATTTTAAAAATAAGATTTATGCCAAATAGGCTTGAGAGATTGCATTGGAGGTAAGCATTCTTCACAATTCGATACTGTCATAGCACTATTTGCATTTACTGTCTCTCCATCCTACCACATCTGAGTTATTGGTGTAGTCCATAAATACAAGTTGAGTGGGGTATTGTGCCAGGGTAGAATGATAACCAAAAACAGCAAAAATTGTTCCTGGAAATTTTTCCCCAGCAGATTATCTTCTAGAGCTCTGCTATCTGGTACTGTAGTCAGAAGCCATATGTGGCTATTTAAATTCATTGAAATTAAATTAAAAATCCAGTTCCTCAGTCACACGAGCCACATTTCAAGTGCTCACATGTGCTCGTGGCTATCATAGTAGATAGAGCATGCAGAGAACAATTCTATCATGGCAGAATATTCTATAGGAAAGCACTGGTCTAGAGGTGAAGAATGGGGCATCTGAAATCAGGCTACTTGGATTCAGAGCCTGGTCCACCACACTAGCAGTGTCACCCCAAGAGACATTTATAAATCTCTCTGTGACTCCGTTTTTCTCACCTAAAACTTGGTATACTATTACTTACATAAGAATAATGATATTACCTACTTGAGAACGTTGCTTTAAGAATTAAGTGAAAAGATCCCCACAAAAAGTTTCCTACACATTTCATACACATTCAGAGTAAGTGCTCAATAAATGTTGGCTATTATTATTGTTGGTAGTGGACAACAGAAACATTAAGTCATGAAACAGATAGAGACAACGTTACTCACTGTGAAGGATGCTCTGAAGGAAGAATGAACTGTGTTTAGAGGCTCTCCAACAAGTGAACCAATTTTACTTCCTGAGGAGTTAAGAGTTAGCTGGGAGAGATAGGGTTAAGAGCTTCCCTTTCCTTTTTAAAGATGCCTTTAAATTTAAATTGCTTAGATTTAAAAAAAATTAGAAGTTTCCTTCATTCAGAAGTTGAACTGGAGTCAGAAATGAATTACTAATACTATCTTTCCTAAATCTGATAGAGACTACACCACTCTAGAGAGCTTTCAGGTAATTGTGCTTTGCGCTCCAGGCAATAAAGAGGGATGTACCCAGTTGATAAATAAGGAAGGAGGAGATATTAGAGGGTCAGGCAAGAATACTGGAATGGGTTGCCATTTCCTTCTCCAAGGGATCTTCCCAACCCAGGACCCCTACATTGTGGGCAGAGTCTTTACAGTCTGAGCCACCAGGAGGCAGACAAATAAAAAGTGAAAGTGTTAGTCACTCAGTAGTATCCAACTCTTTGCGACCCCATGGACCGTAGCTGGCCAAGCTTGTCTGTCCATGTAATTCTCCAGGCAAGAATACTGGATTGGGTTGCCATTCCATTCTCCAGGGGATCTTCCTGACCCAGGGATCAGAACCCAGATTTCCTGCATTGCAGGCAGATTCTTTACCATCTGGGCTACCAAGGAGCAGTATAGTCAGTAGAGCTTTGTAGATCAAAAGAGAAGAAAGGATTATTCTATGACTGGAATGACTGGATAGCAATTTTTAGGGATGTAAGTTGTATATACTATCATGCTATGTATCAAAACAATTCCCATGTGGGAAAAGTGTTAAATATTAAAAATAAATCAAAACAAAGATAAGTAATCAAATATTTATCAAAATTCTAGAAGGAAGATGCCTTTTCTAACTTAAAAGTGATAAAATATACCTCAAAAAATTTAGAGCTTCTATAGATAGACAAAATTAGCAAAGTATAAAATTGCAACTAGAGACTGGAAAAAAACATGTTCAGCAGATATGTCTTTCATTAGATTAAAAACATAAAAATTAAAAATACTTATTTTCCCATAAATAACAGAGGATGAATAAACAATTCACTAAAAAATACAACTGTTAAAAAAGAGGAGAGCATTCAGCTTTTAAATAATTGAAACAAATATAAACTAACATAATGATTTATTATTTCCAAATACTACAGTAAAAAAAAAAAATGCACAATAATTTCCAATGTTAACAGTGATGTAGTGGAATTGTAGTTCTTTTGCAGTGTAAGTGACATTGAAAAATACAATCAAGAGCCAGACATATACCTCCTAGTCCCATCCCCATCTCCACAGAAATATCCAGAAAATTTTATTAATCTTGAGTCTCAGAATCCAGCCAAAAGAAACAATCTAAAATATGGAACAAACTATGTGCATCTTAATATTCACCTCAACATTAATTGGCATGCAGAATCAAAAAGAAACCAAAATACCCAACAATGGAAAAATGGTTAAATAAATTATGATGAGGGCATGGCAACCCACTCCAGTATTCTTGCCTGGATAATCCGCATGGACAGAGAAGCCTGGTGGGCTACAGTCCGTGGAGTCGTGAAGAGTCAGATACAACCGAACAGCCAAGCACACAGCATATGATATGACATAAACTCCAGGAGGCAGTGGAGGACAGCGAGGTATGCAGTGCTACAGTCCATGGGGTCTCGGAGTGGGACACGCTTGAGTGCCTGAACAACAACAAAATGTAGTATATAACACTACAACTGTGCATTATATATATGATTGCATCATTCAATCATTCAAGTACCAGCAATGCTTATAATGAAAATTAAGATAAAAATACTCTGTGTAGTTATGTATGCACTTTGATTACAAGAAGGCTGAAAATAGAAAAATATGAAATGAAATCTATGCTGCTGCTGCTGCTAAGTCGCTTCAGTCGTGTCCGACTCTGTGCGACCCCATAGACGGCAGCCCACCAGGCTCTGCCATCCCTGGGATTCTCCAGGCAAGAACACTGGAGTGGGTTGCCATTTCCTTCTCCAATTATATTCATTTTTATGTAGATTATTTATAGACAGGGAAGCCTGGTGTGCTGCAGTGCATGGGGTCACAAAGAGTCAGACATGACTTAGCAACTGAACAACAATAACAATTTATAGCACATATGTGTACATATATTATAATTACACATATATTTATTCTGTTATATAATTTATAAACATTAATGTATTAATAACAGCGTTCTATAAAACCTATATTAAATATATATGCTAATAAAATATTCTATGCTTTGTGTATATTATATAGAAACATTTTACTGAAAGCTGAAAGTCAACTGTCTTCTAATCTTGATTTTATAAAGTTTAGTATGCAAAGACTGATGAGGACTTCTTGACCAATAAAATATAGCCAGAAATAACAGGGTGTTAAGAAAACTTACTATTATTGTGTAAAAAATAATTAGATTTTTAATGTTATGGCAGTGGTTGGTTACTATTCCTAGCAACCTAAGTTTCAGTGGATCACCTTTTATTCTAGGTTTTATCAAGGTAATGTTTGTTAAGGTGAAATAATAGCTATTCTGTGCAAATTTTTTATGTTTGATGAATCAAAATATAGAATATTTTCAACAGTCTAGCAAGTACCTTTCTGCCCACTTCTAGGGAATACCTATTCCTATAGGAAACCTCAATTTTATTTCATTATACATATTATTCCCGAATGTATTTTGCCTATTTAAAAATTCATTTGTGTATCACACAGTATGTATTATTTTATGTCTAATGGTGATTTGACCAATTTATCATTATGTAATATCCCTCTTTATCTCTAACAAGATTTCTAGATAAGAAGTCAGTTTTTTCTGGTACTTGTTACACACTATATTGTTTTGATTCATCAAACTTTCAACCTGTCTATAGTTTTATATTTAGAATGCATATTTATAGATAATATATAAATAGTTCTTGCTTTTTAATCCAGTGTGACAGTTTCTGTCTTTTAACTGAAGTGTTTAGCCAATTTATATTTGATATTGTTTTTGATATTCGTGTATTTAGGGGCCACCATTTTGCGATTTGTTTTCTGCTTGTTCCATGTGTTGTTTTTTTTATATTCTTACGTATCCAGGGGAAGTATCCACTTGCTTTCCTTCTGTTTATTTTTATATTAGCTCTATGTAAGTTTTTCTATTATTTGATTTTAATTTTTCTTTTAGATTCTTAACTATAACTCTTTATATTGTTATTTTTTGTTGTTGGCCTATGCAACAACTAAAATAATAAACCTTTGGTTTTTATAATTTTGACTATGATACACTTAAGTGTGGTTTTTTGTCTTTGTTCTCTTTGGGATTTGCTGGGCTTTTTGAATATCTAAGTTGATTTTTTTTTTTTCACCAAATTTGAGAGAAATTGTTTCTTCAGATATTTTGTCTGCCACACTTTCTTCCTCTTATTCTTCCGGGACTCCAATCACACACATGTTATATGGTTTAATATTACCCTGAAGGTCACTGAGATTCTATTTTTATTTCAATCCTTTTCTCTTTGTTTTAAAGATTGGATAATTTCTATTTTTTTTCAAATTTACACACTACTTCTGCCATCTCTAATCTTCTGTTAAGCCCATGCAATGAATTTTTCATTTCAAATACTGTACTTTTCAGTTCCAGAATTTTTATTTAATTTTATTTTTAGTTTCATTACTCTGCTGCAATTTACAACCTTTTCATTCATTATAACCTTTTTTTTTTCCTTAACATCTTTGTACACATTTGTAATAGATACTTTCTAGTCTTTATCTGGGTTTCCTTGGTGGCTCAGACGGTAAAGAATCCGTTTGTAATGCAGGAGACCCAAGTTCAATCCCTGGTGCGGGAAGATCCCCTGGAGAAGGGAATGGCTACTCTCTCTAGTATTCTTGCCTGGAGAATTCCATGGACAGAGGAGCCTGGTGGGCTACAGTCTTTATCTGCATTTACACCAACTGGATTAACTATGAGTCATTTCTCTTTCACTACTTTTTCCCTTGATGTGTCACTTTTTTCTGTTTTTTTTCCACAAAGCTAATAATGGTTATGGTTTATTGGATATTGTGGACAATATGTAGTATAGGTCCTCCATTCTGCTCGCTTCCCCTGAAGACTATTGTTGTTCTAGCAGATTTCAAGTTACAACCAATAAACTTGCAGTTGAGAAGGCTGGACTTTATGTTAGTTAGATCTATTCCAGATGTGCCCTTAGTTCTAGGGTGAATCTCTTAATCTTGAGACTGTTTTATTCCTAAACATGAAAGTCTGAAATTTTTTATCAGTCCCTTCTAACTTGGTAGGACATGGATTTTAAGCACTACTACCCACAGGGAGCAGCATCTGAAATATCTGCTCAGAGCTTTCCAACTTCAAGCTGTGACTCTCTGATTGTCTTTTTAGAGTCTCCTCTGCAATTCAAAGACCAGCCACTGATTTGAGGGGAGTTTACATGCTGATTCATTCCCTCCTTTCTAAGCTATTTCCTTCTGAATTTCCAGGCACCTTGGCAGCCCTAAATGTTGCCCTCCAACATCTAAAGCCTATCAGATTGTGGCTTTCTGCTTGAGTTGTAGTTATCCTAAGTTTCACAGACTAGACAGTGCCCTAAGGAAAAATGCCAGGTAGAAATCAATCTCACACAATACATTTTCCTCCTTTCAGAGATTGAAATTCCTCCAGTGTCTGCTTGCTTTTAGTCACTAATTCATTGGTTTAAATAATTTTTATATTTTGTCCAAACTTTATAGTTATCCATATGAGAGATAGTCTTGTGTAAGTAACTACGCCATTACTGAAATTGGAACCCCAGTGGAATATTTTATTACTCTTTCTTATATCAACTAGGTTTCCTGAATTGAGGAGCTATCAATGGCATGATCTGTAGCATTCATGTTCCTATAGCAGAACATACTGATAGGGAATAAGAAAAACACTACTCGAAGATTTGGGGAAATATATCTTCTCTTCCTAAAATCTACTTATACTCCAGAAATTTCCGTAACTCTCTCTGCTTAAAACCCATACAATCTGAGGAATTGACATTCTTGGGAACTGGTACACCTCTCCCTTCTTTGGGTCAGTGAATTGGGAAAGATCACATGACCAGGTTATGGTCAGAAATCCTCAGCCTCTGAGCATAACAACAAAGCTTTAAAACACTGCTAGAGAGCTAAGAAATGGTTGTCTACCACACTATTTTGCCATCAGAGTAAGAATTCTGCTTAATAACAATTTTAAAAGAAAGGGGATTAAGTTAAATTGATAATATTCTTCTTGGATATAGATTGTCTTTTCTCTTATTTGGTAAGCTTCAACAAAGGCTAAAGTATCAAAGTCCTTTCTTAAGTTTTATCTGAACCTTTTGGTTTTATCATATTAAGGTCTGATACATTTTCAATCAGGTAAAGTCAATTATCTGACGGAATATATCAAGCAGAAGATGAGTTTTAGAGTCAGACTAGCCTGTATTTTAATCCCAGTTGTACCCTTATATTAGCTGTAAGATTTTGGACATGATATTTAAGCTTTCTGATCTTCAGTTTCTGAACCTAAAAATCATCACTATTAATAGTGATCCTACTGGGAATGCTCTGAGGTTGAAATTAGATAATGTACTTAAAGTGTCTGGTGAAGTTTCTGACACAGAGTATGCACTCAAAAAGTAGAAGGATATTATCATCTTGTGATTGTGGTAACAATACTAACATTATCATTATTATTAGTGAGCCAGTGGAAGAAAGTAAGAGTGCAAAAATTCAAAAGAATAAGATACAATTTTTTTCTTTTCTGTAATGCATTATACTATTTTGGCTGTCATCGTTCCTTTGCTAAGTCGTGTCCAGCTCTGCACCCTCATGGACTGTAGCCCACCAGGCTCCTCCATCCTCTAGTATCTCCCGGAGCTTGCTGATGCTATCTAACCATCTCTTCCTCTGCCACCACCTTCTCCTTTTGCCTTCAGTCTTTCCCAGCATCAGGGTCTTTTCCAATGAGTAGGCTCTTTGCATCAGGTGGCCAAAGTTTTACAGCTTCAGCATCATTCCTTCCAAAGAATATTGAAAGTTGATTTCCTTTAGGATTGACTGGTTTAATCTCCTTGCAATCCTGGGGACACTCAAGAACCTTCTCTAGCACCACAATTCAGAAGCATCAGCTCTTTGGTGTTCAGCCTTCTTCATACTATTTTTTATACTATTTTGGTACTTTGTTATAAAAACCAACTATGCTTATTTGGCTCTTCCCTGTTTTCCTGGCCTGATTGCTACAGTTTTCTTCACCAGCTTAGAATTCTTGCCAAGACAGAACCTTTTTAGGCTTCTTAACTAAACAGAACTCTTTTCACTTTAAAGCCTTTACTCATTCTGTTCCCTGTGCTCTTGGCATAACTTTTTCACAGAACTATCTTGAGGTCTTGGTTTAAACATCACTTCTATATAGAATTCTACTCTGGCCACCTAATCTAAGTAGCCAGGCTTTTTACTAATCTCATAACATCACAGGGTTTTTGCCTGGAGAATCCCAGGGAAGGGGGAGCCTGGTGGGCTGCCGTCTATGGGGTCGCAGAGTCGGACACGACTGAAGCGACTTAGCAGCAGCAGCAGCGGTTTGTTTCTTTTCTAGCACTTTTTACAGTTTTTGATTGTACAGTTGATTGTTAATGGATAAAACTCTAGGCCCTGTCCTGTGAGCGTAGCAAGCACGTCTGCTCCATTCATCAGCATGGCTAGGGCTCAGGTTCCTCAGTGCTTATTTTGTGAATGGGCAAATACAAGAACAAATGTGATCTGAGAGAGTGCCGTGGAGTAAGTGAAGCTAGCCTAGGATTTACCACAAGTAACTGGCCATAGTTGGGTTTTAAGCCAGACATGAAAAGTGATTAGGACATTGAACTTTCAGGCGCATATAAATAGCAAATAAACCATTCAGTTATGTGTAACAATTAGTAAGTACTGACTAATGGCTTAAAAATTCATACTGTGCCTTTTTCCCCTGTCTTTTCTCTAGAATGGCCACATCTGTTGCTCAGTGGATCCACAGTGCCTTCAGGAACTGTGAAGTTAACTGTCTCACTGGAAATTTCTGTTTAAAGAATGTTCTTTCATTAAAAAGACCAAAAAAAAAAAAAAGGTAAAACTTAAAGTGGATGATTTGTGGGCAGCTAAGTGCAGCATTGTTATTAGCTGAGTGAACTTTCAATTATGAAATTCATGGAGCTTGAGAAAATCACAAAAGGAAAAGGCTTGGAAAATCACAAAAGGAAAAGGCTTGGGGCAAAACTGGACGAGAATTCCACCTCAACGGTGTCTGACGTCAAACATGTAGAGGAATGGGTGTGAAATACATACCATGACATCATGACCCCTGGACATAAAGCCTGAGCTTATGGGAGCTTTGGAAGCCTCTGGCTTCACTGGTGCAGAAAATACTCCTCTAGACCAGAATCTTCATGAATCAGTTCAGTTCTTCACTGCAGAAAATAAAATGTAAGGCGGTGAATGAGTTCTATTTTCAGAAGCAAAGCAAAGAAGCTGTAACATGTTATATGTACAATATACACTCTGAGAAGAAATCTGAAACATTATTGTCATGATAAAAATAATGCACAGGCATGGTTACTTACTATTTTCTAACAAGAGAACTCATCCCTATTTCCTTGTTTTACTGCACTTAATATTTGGTTGAATTTGTTCAGTATAAGCTCGTTCTTGTGTAAAATCAAATAAATATTTCTCTTACCTTATAACATGCCCTGGTGTTTGCTTAATGTGTTCCTTTCCCCCCACACATTCTTCCACATACAAATTGTTTTCTAGTTCTGCTGATGAAATACTCCCAACTCCCAAACTGAAAGGTGATTTTTGCTATATTACATGCCTAAATGGGGGGTGTGAAGGAGACCTTTGTTCTGCCTCTGTGGATTCGCTAGGTTGCCTTTTACCCTACCTCATATCCTGGGGACTGACTTATGTACATCATATTAATAGGTTCTCTAGTCCTCTGAATTCTGATTCAGTCTGACTAGTGGCGACCACCAGCAGGATTTCAGAAAGAGAAAGTCTGGCTCTTCACCCTGCTGGCTCCTCTCGGGTCAGGTCACTGCCAGTTTAGTTGTGTCAGTGGAGGCGACGTCTCCTGACAGCTGGCCCTCCCTGTTCAGCTATTCTCTCCCAACTTCTGTTTGCTTCTTCTTTCTTTAGGGATGGTAACAACTCTGGCTGCTTTGTCTTTGTGGGTACCTGCTCAGTTTCTTGTTTTCCCTGTTTCCTTTCGCCTCTTTAGAAATGGTCGCTTTGTTAAACTCTCTTTAATTAGCCAGCTTGAGCATGCCATCTGTTTCCTGCCAGGACTCTGACTGATGTCCATAAGGAAAGGAGTATGTGAGGGTTGGGAATCTCGTCAAAAATTCGTCCTTCACAGTTTGATATAAAAATTTAAAGAATCCCAGTGTTAGGAGGGATTATGATATTACATGTTAAAATTTTTGATGCACCAGAATCTCAGGAGGAAAAAGTAAACTTACAGATGCTCAATAGTGATGGTAAATACAGTATTGCCCTATTCGTATGTTTTGCACTAGGGTGAAAAAGAAATACAAATCTTATTAAATTTTAGTTGCATAGAGACTTCTTTAAAGGAAAAAGAGTGAAAGTGGACAAGATGTAACTCCCACAAGCTATGGAAAAGGTAAAGTGGCATTTAACTGCCTTTCCCCCATTGCTATGAAAATTACCTCATAGGAGCCGAGCTAAAGGATAATTTGTAAATGTCTTAATACTTTGGCATATGTAGTATTTACTGAATGTGTCAATTCAAGTATCTCTCAGTATTCCCTGGACTTATAAATGTTTTTTTCTGCAGCCTGTTTATACTTGACTAAAAATTTCAGCAGAGCATAAAGTTTATTTTGAGCAGGTATTATTTACTGTGGAAACTAGCAATTTAGTCTCCAAAAAGATATTAATTTGAAAGTTTTTCCATGTATTTTTTCCTTATATAGATTTGGGATTTCATATAAATTTCCATAAAAATATTTTTTATTAATACTTGCTTTTCTGAGAAAAGTATGAAATATGTGCATTTGCATGTGTGTGTACTTGTATCCACACTCACAGTTTACATCCATATACTTGGATATACTCATCATTTAGATGTTTTATGCCTTCTAGAAGAAGAAACAAGGTGGAATTGCACACTCCCCTCTGTCATAAGTGTAGGGCTCTGAGTGTATTGGTGGTTTTCAGAGCCTGGTTTCTGTAGACTTCTGAAAGAAAGAGAACTCATAACATTGAGAAGAAAAGAGGGAGAAAATAAGATTATGTTCTTCCAAGGACTATTAAAGCAATAAATGTGTTCAGATTGAATTTTTTACTTCAAGGTTTATCCCATAAATAATAGATACTCAGGAGAATTGCTGTTTACCCAGGCGAGCAGTAATCAATTGCTTCTTAAGGGCTTTGTTCTTTGAGAAAGAGGTTGTTAAATGCCCTATTTCTTACTCTGGAGATAATTGGCAAAATGCCATGGTTGAATTATGCCAATGTTGTGGGGAAGTGAGAACTAAGAAGCATGAATTTAATTTGGGGGTACTTGGCTCTTTTAAGAGCAGCCTTTGGTGGAAAAAGTCTTTACTACATTTCCTTTATTTTCCCTTTTCTGAAAGAAAAAAAAACACAAGAATATTTGAATATGATTCTTTGGTAATTCATGAATGGTAATCCATGTCACTTGTCATCCTTTTTGAAAGACTACCATATTGCTATTTCCTTTGCCTTATATAGTGGGAAGGAGAATCACATATTTTTGTTCAATATGATCCAAGCAGTATCATCTAACTCCTTTCATCTCCCAGTAACTTGGTTAAGACAAAGTTGAGACACCTTGTAATTGGCCTTAAAAAATGGATGGTATATCAAAGCTCTAAAACAGCAATCGATTCTCTGTATATTGGAATAGCAGAAGTTATTCAGTTGAACAAAACTGAGATTACATGTGTGGAATAAAAAATAAGCTTCAAGTCACTAAGGATTACCCCCAAAGCTCCATGTTTCTGACTAGTTGGGAATTCCTCTGGAGATCAACAGGTCCCATAGACACTTGCATGGTCCCAGTCCTGGTAACCTAGCACTGAGTATTGATAAGATCAACCTTTATTAGAGCAAGACTTTGTATTTTTCTTATTTCTCAAATGTAAAGTGTTAGTGGCACAGTAGTAGATTGATCTCAGAGAGATTCATGCCGAAAAGATCCCTGAAGGCAATAAGTGAATGCTGTGCTCTGTATACACTTCATTCACTGAACACTCCCGCTGGGTAGTCACTCTGTTGCCGTCAAGTTGTCTCATTGTGTTCTTACTGACCTTTCAATATTGATGGACTATTTTCTGCCCTAGAATTCAATATCTTCCGTAAAGGAATTGTCACCTCTTTGCAGAATAATTGCCCTTACTTAACAGACATACAGGTAGAAAAACAGGAGAGCTTTGAGCTACAATGGTCTGGATCTGTGGTGAAATATATTGGCAAAGAATAGAACCACTGGAAGAGTTTGGAATAAGATAGTTTGAGTTTCAGTTTCCTATATATCTTGTATTTGCCAAGAGGCTGTGGCAACTCCTCCAAGCCTTTTATCTTTGTGCTGAGATTAAATCATGGTTCAAAAGATTGTTTGCATGGCAGATTCTTAAGTCCTTCTTTATTTTGAATGACAAATGGCACAATATATTACTGTCACCCCAAAAATATTGCATTTAAGACATGCTCTCCTTTTATCTCCAGTGCTAGGTTTTTTAATAAAACACTCTGGACTCAGAGTGTGACTAGATGTAGAAATAGAAATGGTAACAAGTTTATTTTTGACTAATTTTCTTTCTCTTTCACAAAAAACAGCTATAAATAGGGAAAGCAGAAAACCAGAAAACATAATTTTCTTCAAAATATATACGGAATTCAGGAATAAGTTTATCAAAAGAAATTCCTGGTCTTGTGGAAAAATAAAAAACCACAGTGAACAAATCTTTGAAATCCTAGAATATACCTAGGCACTGCCTGAAGAGTTTGCATAATGAACCAATTTCACTGCAACAGTATAGATGCCACAATGTGTAGAGTGTGTACAGAGCGGAAGCATCTCCTTATTGCCCTCCTCGTGGAATTCACATCCTTCTGGGGGGCAGAGAATTAAATAAGTGGATGCTATGCCGGGGGAAGATAGGTGCTATGAAGAATTAAGCTGAGTGGAGCAGTGATAGGACAGGCGATAGTTTAGGTGGGGTGGGGATGAAGTCTTCTCTAAGATAAAGTGACATCAGAGCAAACACTGGAATGAAGTGAGGCAGTGAGGCATCTGCACGTCGCAGGGGGAGAATGACAGGCCGAGGGAGTGTGTGAGCAGGTCTGAGATGGGCGCATCCTCATGCGCAGTGTGAGTGGAGTGAGCAAGCTGAGACTTAAAGACAGAGGATGTGGTCAGGGAAGCGGCTGGTGATCAAATCACATAGGTCTTCCTAGGCCATCGTTAGCGATTAGCATTTTTATTCTTTGTGATTTGGAAGCTGTTAGAGAGTTTTGAGCATAGCTGTGACATAGTCTAATGACAATTAAAGAATTAACCTAAGCCATTTGTGGAGAATAAGATGAGGTAAGTGGACAGGCTGAGGGGGTGTGCTGAGCATGGGTGTAGGAGGTACATCTATGCTGCAGAATTTCCAACAAGATGATAATAATAGGCTAGGAAGGTAGCGTTGAGGGTGAGAAGGAAGAAACATTTATTAGAGATCTACTTAATTGAAAAAAAATGGGTAGGAAGACTAAGTGTCAAAAAAGTGTCGATTCATTCTCCCCGGTAGTTCTAATAAGAAAAAAAAATTCTAAACTATTATGGAAAAGCAAATGGCCAGGAATATTTTGAAGAATTATATCTAAGGGCAGAGAAGACCGTATATCATTTATCTATATTTCATATATCATCTATCTTGGTATCCTACCATATATCAAGAGTATAAAGCTATAGAAATTGAGTCATTGTTATGGGAATAAATGGAAGACAGGTCAATATATAACAGCACCAAGACTTCAGAAAGCATCTCATACACAAATGGATGTTTCATATGTGACAGAGGTTATGCCGAAGAATTGAGCATGTGGAAATTGCCTATGGAAAAGCAAAAACATAAAATTATGGCCTTATTTCACATAAATCAATCCCACATAGATTAAGGACCTCAATATAAAAAGCAAAACAAATTTATGAAGAGATTTTAGGAGAATGCTTTTTGACCTTGGGATGGTTTAAAATAAACTCAAAAGGCATATATCATAAAATCATAGTTAAATTCTACTATATGAAGTAGATGAAAAGACAGGCCATAGGCTGGGAAAGATATTGGCTTTATATATGATCACAAAGGACTGGTAACTGGAATGTATGTATTTAAAAACTCCTAAAAAGGAGAAAAGTACAAAATATCCAATACAAAAATGGGCAGAAGACATACATAGGTGTTTCACAACACAGGAAACCCTAAAATGGCTAATAAATGTTGTGAACATTTGTTTGGGCTCCCTAGTCTTCCGGTGAGTTTATTTTAAAACCACAATGACAGAATATTTTTTAAAATCATCAAAATTAAAAAGAATAACACCAGCTGTTGGTGAGAATGTGAAACAACCTGAAGCCTTGCACACCAGTAGTATGTATTATACATTATGTATATCCCCACACCACTTTGGGGGCAGTTTTGTGATA